TGGCAACTTCAGTGTAGGGATAGGTAAGACAATGACTTATTCTTTGGGGTGCACAGCTGAGTCAGAGCTAATCTAAGCCATGCCTGTGTCATATACAGTGGAAATAAAAACAAACGGTGAAAACTAGTGCTATGTAGTTGTCTCTAGTATATTCCCAGGCCATTCGCTGCTAGTCTACTCCTCCTTCAATCAAAGTGGAGGTTCACTTACTCAAGCTTCATTAACTTATGCTCATGAGTCATGATGGGCTACAGTATGATTGAGTGAAAGATACACTTAGGAGAAATTCCTTGAATGCAGGTAAAGAAGTTGTCTGACCCTCACACATGTCTACAAGAACTGGAGAAGAGGAGCAGATTTGAGGGTGGTGAGATTTCTAGGCCTGAGTATCCTTGTGAAGCATGCTGCTGTGGATGCTTCAGCCTCATCTGGCTGAGGGTCCCTTCTGGTACATCAAGAAGCTTCTTTGTCATCCTTTTTCAGGGTGGAGGTGGGGTAGGGAGTGGATGGATGCTGTGATCATGTGCCTGTCCGCTCTAGGTGCAAGCAGTTGGAAATCAATCCTAGCACATTCCCAAGTAGCTGGGGTCTATAGTTGCAATTTGAATTCAGCCAACATTCATGGGCCTCTGTAGGTCATACAAAATGAGTGAGCTGTAATCTTTGCTGTATTCATTTTCTAGGGCTGCCATAACAAACTACCACAAACTGGGTGGCTTAGAACAACAGAAATATATTGTGTAACAGTTCTGGGGACCAGAAGTCCAAAATCCAGGTGTTGACATGGCCATGCTGCCTCTGAAGGCACTAGGGAAGAATTTGTTCCAGACCCCTCTCCTAGCTTCTGGTAGTCCCTTGGCTTGTGGCAGCATAACACCAAGCTTCATGCAGCATTCTCCCTGTGTACCTGCATATGTTCAGACTCCCCTCCTTTATTTTTTAAGGACACCAATCATATTAGATTTAGGGCCCACCCTATTCCAGTATGACCTCATCTTAACTCAACTAATTATATCTGCAATGAGCCTATTTCCACTTTTTTTTTTTTTGAGATGGAGTCTCACTCTGTCATCTGGGCTGGAGTGCAATGGTGTGATCTTAGCTCACTGCAACCTCTACTTCCTGGGTTCAAGCGATTCTCCTGCCTCAGCCTTCTGAGTAGCTGGGATTACAGGTGCACGCCACCAGGCCTGGCTAATATTTTTTGTATTTTTAGTAGAGACGGGGTTATACCATGTTGGCCAGGCTGGTCTCGAACTCCTGACCTCAAGTGATTTACCCATCTCAGCCTCCCAAAGTGCTCTGGGGTTGCAGGCGTGAGCCATGACACCCAGCCTGCAAAGACCCTATTTCCAAATAAGGTCATATTCTGAGGTACTAGAGGTTAGGACTTCAACATATGAATTTTGGAGGAATATAACTCCCCCATAACACTTGCCCTCCAAGGATTTATAATCAAGTTAGAGAGAGAGGCGTATATGTCACTAGTCTGTTAAAAATTACTAGTTACTTTGATGAATTCATACTAAAATTCCCTTTCATAGCATGGATTTTTCTAATGTTATCTACCTTCCAACTGTTTGTTAGTTGTACTTTTGTCAGTGTGGTAATAAATAAATCTGGTTTATAGACACTTCAGTATTGCACTAATATTTCAACCATGACAAAAAGTTGAATAACAATACTATTGTGAAGGAATGTTATGTGCTTTTTTTTAATAAGACAAAAAAATCAAAAAGCTTAAAAATGGATTCCATTCAAGTAAGAAAGAGGGAAATAAAAGTGATACTGATGAAAACATTGAATTTCAATTTATCACAATGAAGAAGGCAAAGCATGCAGTCACTTTACTTAAACTGTGTCTACGTGACATGGTAGAGTGGGAATTCGTTGACTATCTAGTTAATCTCATCAGCTTAGACATCCATTTGGGTACTCAAGCAGTAGGCAAACAGGGCAGATGTTTGAAAGAATTATCCAGACCATTAATTAAAGTATAGGTTTCAAAGAAGGGGACATGGAAACTAGAGAGTCAGTGAAGACGGTTTTGAGACTTTTCATCTTCATTTTTCAGTTTAATAATGATTATCACAGAAATATAAACATCAGGAAAAGATTTTGATAAAGTTTAACACATAAAATAGAAAATTCCAGAAGGAATTTTCTGCAGTGGAGGATTCATATTATAGGAACATTGAAGGCAGATGCAAACCCTACATGTGCCACTGTAAACATTAGGCATATTCCTCAACTTGCTCCTATTATGGACGGCTTCCTACTAAAATGGAATTCAAGTAACACATCATTCAAGCATCCCTGCTTCATGTTCTACAGAAAAAGCTTATCTGTTGCAAATGTTCTTGCAACTTCTGCTCAAATAGTAGTGCCATTAAAAATGGCTGATGGGGGGGTGCTATCTCAGATATTTCATCCTAAACAAAAGTATCAAAGCAAAGTTATTTTTCAAACTCTTTATTCATCCATATTGTCATTTTCTCTTACATGTGCTACTTCAAAACAAATACCAATCTGATGATGACAGTCCCTTGCTGAAAATGCTTCAGTGGCTCTCCGTGGCCCTTAAAGTCAAGTACAAAGTCTGCAAGCAGAAAAATGATCTGCAAAGTCCTTCAGGATCTGACCCCAGTTCGCTTGTGTAGTCAAGGGATGGCTATTTTGTTGTTTTGCTTTTCAGTTCCTCAAATATTCAAAGCTTTCTTTTGCCTCTGAGCATTTGTTCCTACCGTTCCTTCTGCTCTGTATCTCTTCATCTTGGTCCGATTAGCCCTTACTCATATCCTTCCAGTTTCAGTCTAAATGTCATTCATTCCAGAAACCACTACTGACCACCCAAGTCTATGTCATACACCATTTTCTCCTGGCATCTGACACTTCCCTATTTTGCAGCTTTTACCACACTTTGCCATAACTGCCTGTTTACTTGTGTGTATTCTTTCAAATATGCTGATTTTTTCCTGAGGGCAGGCAGTGACTCTTTTTTCAATATTGTATTCTCAATGCCAGGTGGACAATGTTGGTACTAGATAGTGTTTGGAACAAATGAATAAATGAAGGAGAGAAGAAATGACTTCTCAGTGATACTTCTGTAAGATAAATAACTGCCAATACTTATATTACACATTTCAAATAATCTTTTCAAAAACAAGTATAACTCATTTATGGTAATGGAAATCAAAAGAGTGGTTACCTTTGGAGGTACTGATGAGGAAAAGGCACAAGGGAATTTTCAGGGGAGGAGAAAAGTATCCCTATTCTTACTCTGGGTGTTGGTTTCATGGGCATGTGCAGACATAAAAATTCAATGAGCTGTGTACCTACAATTTGTACCCTTTGTTGCATACGTTAACATAAAATAAGTAAAAAAGAAAGAAAGTTATAACTACCTTTATCTCACTCTAATACCAAAGATACATTTTACCATTTGTTAGCTCAAAGAAATCTGATATATGGTTTTAAAAGCAACCTTGCAGTTCTGTTTAAGATTGCTACAATTTAATAAGATTATCTAAAACCTCAAAGCATAAGTAGAGTGGGCCCATGCAGGGCCTTTTCTTCTACCTCTATAGCCCAGAGAAATGCTAAACCAGAAAAGGGGCTGGGGTTGATCTTGTCTGAGCATCTTGTGGGAATCAGTTCCCTTTCAGGCCCTCCAATAATGTGAAATTCCCTCTATCCTGTTTTTAACCCCATAAGCACCAAGCGAACTGCACTTCCAAAGTTTGCCTGAAATGTTTTAGCAAACCCATGAACCCTGTTGATCAACAGTCACCCTAAACTGAACCCACTTCCAATAGTGACCAAAGAATTCTTCTGACCAATAATGGAATTCCCCCATTCTCAGACTGACTTCTTCAGGGAGACTTCCAAGGAACTGAGCAGAATTCTTGTGCAATGAAGCCATCATTCCAGCAGATTAGCATTTAGAATTGCTTCAAGAAGCTATTCCATATTTCAAGAGAAATGGAGTTAGCTTTCCTCTTATAAAATGAATTTCATGTGTGTGCTTGCTTATAGAATTCTTGAGTTATCTTTATTTATAGTTATTTTTACTCCTCATACAACTGTTAAAATGTTTTGAAAATATACTGTTTATTCATTCTGGTACTGTATTTAGGATCACTTGCAATATTTCTAAATTAATTTTATTCTAACCTGTCTTCCCCATCAAACCTATCTTTTATTTTAAGTACTTCAGCCTTAGAGTACCTAAAATCCTGTCTTTGCTGCCATTTGGAGGGAAAATAGGCTATTCAAATTGACTGCAAATTGTCTTTGCATGTTGGTCTACATCATTATTCTGGCTTTCTTGCATCCTGCAGTTATTCAGTGTGAAATAACGGTCAAAATCAATTGCAAACTTGTGGTTGTTTTTGACCTGGAAATATTTATTATTGTTATTAGATGATGCATAAGCTTTTGGTGCAGTATTTATGGAGGCAGGATATGCTTCTCTCAGAAGATTTTATCTTTTAAAGGGCACATAAAATTTCAGACTTGCTTCTCAGCTTCATAAATACACAAATGGATGCACAGAGTTAACACAGATCATCCATCTTGACTTTCTTTTGGCTCAAGCAACCACGGAACTAAATCCCATATAACCTGTATAAGTCTCTATGTTTAAATCAACTTTAATGAGGAGGGGGGAGTTCAAATGCTTGATAATCTAGAAGAAGAGAAACTTGTAACTTGCATTTAACAATACATCCAACAAAGTTATGTGCCCTCCGATAAATGAGCTGCAGATTTTGGAGCTCTGTATGTATTAAATATAATAAATGTTTTTCAAAAGTTTCTCAAGTCTAATTTGAAGCCATGTTAATGCAGATCCTTTTTTGTTATTTTTAATTGACACATAAAAATTGTACATATTTATGGGGTACAGAATGATATTTCCATACATGTGTAGAATGTGTAATGACCAAATCAGGGTAATTAACATACCCATCACCTCAAGCTTTTATCATTTCTTTGTGCTGGGAACATCCAAAATAGTTTCTTCTAGCTATCTGGAAATATACAATAAGTTAGTGTTAACTGTAGTCATCCTACAGTGCTTTAGAACACTAGAACCTTTCCTCTTATCTAGTTGTAATTTTGTGTTTGTTAACCAGCCTCTCCCTATTCATCCTCCCAGTCCTGTCTTCCTCATCCTTCCCAGCCTCTAGTAACTGTATTCTTCTCTCTACTTCTTTGAGCTCACAGTGGTGGCGGCACTCAGAAGAGCTGATCCTCAGGCATTTGGGGTGGTGCATGAAGGCTTTGCTGCTGAAGGGGGCAAGGTTGCTGGCGGTGATGTTGGGCCCCAAACAAGCCAGTCCTTGGGCCTTTGGGTAGGGGCACATGGTAGCTTCATCACTGGAGTTGGTGTATTAGCCATCATCAACGAGCCTCGGGTGGCCTGGTCCTCAGGATCCTTGGTGGTGGGCATGCAGTGGCTCTGCTGCTGGAGTAGGTGGGGAGGCTAGCTACAGTGAGCCTCAGGAGAGCCAGCCCTCAGCCCCCTAGGGTATGCGGTGACATGCAGGTGTGTTGTGGCTCTGCTGCTGGAGTGGGCAGGGTTTGCAGGCAGCAGCAGGTCCCTGGCTGTCAGCTCTCAGACTCTGAGGACCATGCCCCTTTGCTTTCTTTACCTTAGAGGCAGCCTTCCCACTTTGCTGGACCACCTGTTCCTGGAGTTCTATGCACTATGCGGGCTCAGGCGCTAGGTTCACAGCTGCACCACTGGGTCCAACTGCAGTCATGGCCCTGCAGCCTTGTGTGTGGGTGTGATGGAATGATATTGGGGCTCCAGTGATGAGGACATGCAGGGGTTCCTGGGCCCGAAGACAGGAAGCATTCTGGCAGTGGCTCTGTACTCAAAATGGCACTGTGCTGCAGCAGCTTGGTCCCAGGGACTAAGGAGGGCCCCAGTGGTCTCTCTGGAGCAATGTGGTCGCAGAGACTCCAGGCAGCTCCTATACTGGACTCAACACTGCTCTCCTACAGCTAGGCTTGCAGGCATTTGTGGTGGGAATGTTGCCTGCGGGGCATCTCCTGCTTACCTTTCCTCCTCAAGCGGGGGCCCTCTTGGCTCTGAGCTGATCCTGGCTGGCTGCTTTGCTTTCCTGAGTTTCTGCACCTCAGAGGGTCTTCGTAACGTTTTTGCTGAGTTTCAGTGCTCTCCCTTAGACATTTTATTTGGCATGTGATTGTCTACTTGTTATTTTGGTCCTTCTTCGTGGAGGAGGCAAATGCTGGGCAGCTGTAGCAAGCTTTCTGGATGACCAAGATTCTTCTAACCTTTGAAAACCAAGACATGTCAGAATAATGCAAGTTATTTATTTTTATAAACATATCACACAGACACACACACACACACACGACAGGGCCGGTACTAGACAATGTAGGTGTGTAAAAATTTACTCCAGGCTGAGTGTGGTGGCTGATATGTATAGTCCCAGCACTTTGAAAGGCCAAGGTGGGAGAATTGCTTGAGCCCAGGAGCTCACCACCAGCCTGGGTGATGTGGCAAGACCCCATCTCTACAAAAAATTAAAAAATTAGCCAGGTGTGGTGGCACATGCCTGTGGTCCCAGCTGTTTGGGAGGCCAAAAAGGGAGAATCACTTGAGCCCAGGAGGTTGAGACTGCAGTGAGCCATATTCACACGCCTGCACTCCAGCCTGAGAGACAGAGCAAGATCCTGTCTCGGAAAAAAAAAAAAAAAAAAGAAAAAGTTACTCCAAAACTTACTGACTTACAACAACAACAATATTTATGTTGTCCATCAATCTGCAATTTGGGCAGGGCTTAGCAGAGAAAGGGAATATAAGGATGCTTGTGAAAAAATTCTAAAATGCAATATTTATATAAAGTACCGTAACTATATCGCACTTTTGTGATAGTAATGATTTCCCCCTTTTTCTATCACCGCCTCCCCTCCTCCATTCAGGCACGTAGCCCAGTTCTGTGTTTATAATGGCAGGAGAAGAGCATTATGAGACTGGGCAGGAAACAGAGATCGCGGATGAGTCACTAGTTTTTGTGTTTTCACCTGCGTGAATCCTTTCACGAGCTCAGGCCAGATGCCTGGGATGCAAACATCACTGATGGAGGGATTTCCTCTGAGGAAAAACATCAAGATTAAGAGAAAGAAGAATCCCGCCTCCAAGTGTCAGTCGGGTCTCTTGAGGAAATTCTAAATCTCACTAGGTATTTCAACAGAGTGGGTTTAATTATGGAAATTAAACACCTAGAAACTCTCTAGGTGTTGGAAGGCTAAAAGAGCAAAAGCAGGCTTTGAGGGAATAATCTGGAGGAAATAATATGAAGCTTCCAATGGATGGCTCGTGGGGAGGGATAGCAATGGGGAGAAAGCGGGGGCTTAGTAGACGCTGGAAGCTACAGCAGAGGACCTCCTGGAGGTGGTGCTCCTGCGGCCTCGCCCAGCCATTGATGGCTCTTCTCTTCTGAGGGTCCCTGATGTTGTGGGTGCTAGTGTCGGAGGCATTTGAACCGGAACAACTCCATCTTGAGTAGGGGCTGGGTAAAATGAAGCTGAGACCTACTGGGCGGCATTCCCCGACAGTTAAGGCATTCTAAAGCACAAGATGAGATAGGAGGTCAGCAAAAGATACAGGTCATAAAGGCCTTGCTGATAAAACAGGTTGCAGTAACGAAGTCAGCTAAAACCCATCAAAACCAAAATGGCCACAAGAGTGACCTTTGGTCATCCTCACTGCTACACTCCCACCAGCACCATGACAGTTTACAAATGCCATGGCAATGTCAGGAAGTTACCCTACATGGTCTAAAAGGGGCAGGCATGAATAATCCACCCCTTATTTAGCATATCATCAAGAAGTAACCATAAAAATGGGCAACCAGCAGCCCTCTCAGGGCTGCTCTTTGGAGTAGTCATTCTTTTATTCCTTTACTTTCCCAATAAACTTGCTTTCACTTTAGTCTACGGACTTGCCCTGAATTCTTTCTTGTGTAAAATCCAAAAACCCTCTGTTGGGGTCTGAATCAGGACACCTTTCCTGTAACACCGGGACTTCTTGAAAACACTGAGGCAGAAGTCCGAAGGCATTGCTGCTGGTGGAACAAATTGCCAGTCTTGGGTAACACAGACAGGACTGGCAATAATCGGGAAGGAAACCACTTTTCCCTTCCTTCTGCTGTCCATCCTCCTCTGCTGCAACCAGCTGCAGAATTAGCAGAACGTCCGCCAGCAAAGGAGCCTGGAAAATAAAGTTTCCAGAATCTCAGAGCACAGCACGGGGAGGGTGGATTTCGAGCAGAAAGGTAATAGGTAGATAACTAGCATGTTCTTGTACTTGAAAAAAAAGGTACCACTGGATTTAGGACAGAATAAATTGGGAGTTTGTTAATAAGAGAGCTAGAGTTTGGTTGGTCCTGTGACCTTATTTCCTAGGCAGAGGCTTTCGAACTAAAGAAAAAAATTCAAACAGGAAGAAGAAACTTTGCAGATACATTTGTAAATCATTGTTCAAGGATGTAGCACATTCCTTCCTGTGTCTTGGGCCTCCATCACCCCACCCCGTCAATTCAGACAAACCTCTAGAAAGAAGGAAGTTGTCTCACATTGACCAACATTAAATTTCAGTTCCCAGGCAAAGTGAGGACTTAAAATAGAAACTAATCTGTATGGGGCATGATGGCTCATGCCTGTAATCCTAGCACTTTGGGAGGCCAGAGAGGGAGGGTCAGTTGAGACCATGAGTTTGAGACCAGTCTGGGTAACATAATGAGACCCTATCCCTACAAAAATAAAAATTAAAAAATTGGCCTGGCATGGCAGCATGGACCTGTAGTCCTAGCTACACAGGAGGCTGGGACAGGAGGATTGTTTAAACCCAGAAGTTTGAGGCTGCAGTGAGCTGTGATCATGCCACTGTGCTCTAGCCTGGGCGACAGAGAAAGACCCTGCCTCTAAAAAAGGGGGGAAGAAAAAGAAGAAAGAAAGAAACCAACTTGAGCCTTAAAAAAATGAAGGAAATTATTGTTTCAAGTATGTCTGAATTTGTGGACCGATAGTTATACCCTTTGCAGTATATTTTTTAATTGCATAGAAAAACTGCAGACACAAGGAAAATACTGGGAGGATAACACCAAATGCTTGCAATGATTATTTCTAGAGTCTAAGATTATGGCTGATTCTTTTTTCCTTTATACCTTTCATTATTTTCCTAATTATCAACAATAAATGTATCGCTTTTACAATAGCAATTATTTTCAGGAGCCTGTTATTGTAAATGTTATACTGTGATTTACTATTATATCATGTCTCAAAAACATATCTGAATTGGCCTGATAAAAAGCCTAAATTTCTCTTTTTAATTCTCTTTTTTTTTTTTTTTTTTTTTTTTTTTTGAGACGGAGTCTCGCTCTGTCACCCAGGCTGAAGTGCAGTGGCCGGATCTCAGCTCACTGCAAACTCCGCCTCCCGGGTTCACGCCATTCTCCTGCCTCAGCCTCCCGAGTAGCTGGGACTACAGGCGCCTGCCACCTCGCCTGGCTAAGTTTTTGTATTTTTAGTAGAGACGGGGTTTCACTGTGTTAGCCAGGATGGTCTCGATCTCCTGACCTCGTGATCCGCCCGTCTCGGCCTCCCAAAGTGCTGGGATTACAGGCTTGAGCCACCGCGCCCGGCCTAATTCTCTTATTTTTAAGGAAGAGTAAAAGCCAGCAAGTTCTATGAATTTCATTCCTCATTGCTTTCTCCTAAACCTCATGCACCTTCTGTTTAAAAGGAAGGGTGTAGTTGTCATCTTGAATTTCATTTTGACAAAAAAAATCGTCAATCATTTTTCTATGTAAATACTTATAAACTCTTTCCTCTGCACATTGGCACCAGAGTCTGGCTCTATTATGGTCATCCACAATTGATCTTGAAAATATGGCAGAAATGGTATGCTGGAAGCCTTGGAGAATATGTTTTAAAAGTTCTGACCAAGTTCTGTTTTAGTCAGTAAAACAGGGGCCATGGAACAAGGTCTGGGAGATAAAGATGATTAGAGGAAAGAAACAGGAAAAAAACAGGAAGAAAAAAAACTGAAATCATTTAACTTTGCAAGAGGCTTGACTTCCAGAACAAACAAGGACTTGGGAATTTCAAATTTGCACCTGCCTTTAGGCATTATGCATTGAAATCCATTGTCAATACCCTGTTATTAGTCCAAGAGATTTCCACAGATAGCAAGATGCCTGGAATTCCAGAAGGAAGAAGTTACATTCAAAGGAGCATTTTATTGGCATCTGTAAACAGGCCAACACCTGCTAGAAGAAAGTCAAATCACGGATGAAAAAGAACCAATGCAAACATTCCAGAGAGACATCAATATTGCCTGCTCCATAAGATATTCCTCAAGTTGGACTGCACTTTCCACACTCTGATATTTAGGATTGGCCATGACTTGGTTCATGAAGTGTGAATGGAACTGGTCTGTGTCCCTTCCCGCTTCTGAGAAGAAGATCATGATCTTCCCAGGTCTGGGAAGAGACTCCCCAGGTCTCTCTTGAGCCAGCATTGGCATCAGCCTGGATTCTTCAAGCATGATGAACAAAACAGCCCTGCTGAATCTTGATTGACATGTAACAGGAGCAAAAAATAATCTTTGTGGTTTAAGTCACCAAGACTTTGGGGTTGTTTGTTATTGCAGCATAACCTAGTCCACCCAATTGTTACAGGAAAAAGGTCCCAATCCAGATCCGAAGAGAGGGTTCTTGGATCTCGTCCAAGAAAGAATTCAGGACAAGTCTGTAGAGTAAAGTGAAAGCAAGTTTATTAACAAAGTAGAAAAATAAAAGAATAACTCTTGAGGGCTGTGGTTGCCCATTTTTGTGGTTATTTTGTGATGATATGCTAAACGGGGGGTGGATTATTAGTGCCTCCCCTCTTTAGACCATATAGGGTGACTTCCTGACGATGCCAGGGCATCTGTAAACTGTGATGGCGCTGGTGGGAGTAGAGCAGTGAGGACGACCAGAGGTCACTGTTCTCGCCATCTTGGCTTTGGTGGGTTTTGGCTAGCTTCTTTACTGCAAGCTGTGTTATCAGTAAGGTCTTTATGACCTGTATCTTGTGCTGACCTTCCATCTCATTCTGTGACTTACAGTGCCTTCACCGTCTGAGAATGCAGCCTAGCAGGTTTCAGCCTTATTTCACTCAGCCCCTATTCAAGATGGAGGTGCTCTGGTTCACACACCTCTGACACAATGTTACCATATCCATTCTCACCAAAGCCTTTTAAAGAACCTATGTATATGCAAGTGTTCTCCATTGAGGGAGAAAGAATGGATGCACATGATCATTTCAGTGATTTAGGGCAGGGATTTAGACATTTTGATAACTTTCTCGATTTAAAATGTGTAACATTTTATTTTGCTTCCTTCTAGTAGAGACACGCTGTGCTATGCTTTTCTAAGAAATACTTTTTAATTTTATATTCTTATTTCCCCTTACTCTCAGTTATTTCTGAAAATCTTTTTGATGAATGCTTAATGTTCATTCCCATGAATGTAACTGATAAATTTCTCTTTTTAACCATTACCTTTTAAAATGTAAGTGCCTGTGTCTATGTAATCTAAGCAATTTCTTAATTTTTATGTTTAGATACTTTATCTGGCAACCATGCAATAAGTAGAAGACTCTACTCTTCTTTTCTTTAATAAATTCCACAAGGAGCAGAACCAGGAAGAGGAAATTAGTGTTTGAAAAATCAGTATGGCTGTGAAAAGAAAGCTCCCTAAGAATAGGGCTATTATGGCTATGAATTAATGAAAAAATATTCCACTATTTTCTTTAAATCAATCTTTCTTCAAGATCTTGTAAAGCATTCTTCCAGGCTGCTAATAATTGGCTTTTATCAAACTTGATATTCAGGCTTAAAAAAAATCCTTTTTTCCAGGTGCTCCCATCAGTAGGGTAAATTTAAGAATTATTTTTACTGGGTGTGGATCTTTTTGAGAGAACTGGCAAACCAGGCAACTTTGAAGCTACAGTTTTTTCATCAGCTGGTAGCCGTAACCTGACCCCTCCACCCTGACCAGATTTGACCTAAGTGAACAGTCTGTCTCCGGGACATGGATAAGATTGGAGGGAAAAGATAGACTGCATGTCCCCAGCTGAGAAAAGGGGAAGGAGGGAAAGATAAGAACTGTGGTTTCAAATATCCTTAATGGGAATTCTCCACAGTCATTTTTCATCAGGGCTGGGTGCTGTCAGAGCTTTGATTAGTGCCTCTTCTTCCCTGGGAATCCTTTTGTTTGGTCACTCTAGTGTTTGAACTTTGGCCAGGCCATTTTTTGTATTCTCCAGGTAACTGGGTCTGTCTTGATATAGCCCCCGGGGATTGACTCATAGTCTCTAAAGGATGGAACGCTGTCTGATGTTTTGTTTTCCTCCCATGTTCATTCCCTGAAAGGCAAGGGTGATTTTTTTTTTCTTTGCTGTTTTCCTGGCTGTTGCATTGCTGGCTTGGAAAGTCTAAAATGCATTCAAGTCATGGCACCCGGCATTTTCATCAGTATTTTTATTGGTTTGTTTCTTTCTTTTTTGGTTACGCATACTGAAACTAAATCAACATATTAAAAAGAAAGAGAAAGAGATCAGAAAAGGAATGACGTTTGTTAGTGGTTTCTGATTTATGAGTCTGAAGGAACTGTCACACTGAGCCTCGGAATGATATTAATTAGCTGCATGACTAAAATGCCTTGTCAGTGTGGCGCATTAAAGACGCACCTTGCAGCCGGGAAGGAGAGACGCTGAAGAGAGGGGAGGGGCGGCTGCAAACACAAACCACGCTGCTCATTTTTGCCTGCATCTCCACACTGCTAACAAAAGGCAATTCACCGAGGCACACTTTCCGATCTTGTTGTAAAAGCTCATGAGAATATCAATGAAGCCCCACCTAATTTTTGCCTGTTAATAATTCAGCTCCAGATAGTGAGAAATATGAAAAAGAGAACCAGTTTTTCAGTCAATAAGAGAGACCTATTTTTTTTTTTTTTTAAATTTAGAGTCCCATGCAAGTGGCCTTGTCATGGCAAGGCCTTGACCAACTCACAGCCGGTGTTCCATTTACAGTAACGGGGTGTGGCAGGTTGTGCAATAGAGCTGAACAGCACAGTGCTCAGAAGCCCCGACTGTCACGGTGTGCACAGAATCTCGCAGTCTCTACAGGGGCCAAGAGCTGAGTCTATTTTCAGCTGCTCCACTTCTTTAGTGACATAGTCATCCTCTTTGTTAGGGGACACTGGTGGAAACATGTGCTGAAGCTAAAGAAGCTCAAAAAATGCTGGGTGTTATCAGGAAGGCTACTGAAAACATAGCGGAGAAGCTAGCTTACTTTTGTTCCAAACCTCACTAGGCGTGTTTGGTGCCATTCTGGGTGCCACATCTGAGGTAGGAGGCACAGAGGTGGGCAAGAATTCTTTCAGGTGGGTATCATGTGGGCCACAGATTGGTCTAATAATTACAGTTGTAACCACCCAACTTCCCCATGTTCCAGTCCCCAGTTGTCCATGGACCACAAAGACTCCTCACGGCTGCCTCTCCAAGCAGTCTACCAAGAAAGCACCCAGCATTGCTGGGTTGGTCTTAAGGTAGGCAGTCTTCAGGATGTTAGAGGGTTCTTCAACATGGAAGACCTGTGCCCTCCACCCAATCTTGTCTCCCACCTTGTCACTTGAGCCTCACAGGAACAGTGCCCACAGCCTTTGGAAGTCCTGCCTGTGTTTCTGACCTCCAACCTGCCCTACATTTACAAAGAATCGTTAAAGTGGTGCATCAGTTTTTGGTCCCCAATATCCTAATTGCCAAGGTGCCAACTCTGTATGAGATGCCATAAAGAGACCAGTTGCTGTGCCCTCATCTTTACCCTCCACTTCTTCTCTCCTCTTAGACTGTGCCTCCAAACCAACTCCTCCCTCCTTCAAATACAAAGGAACCTGGCCCAGGCACATCAGTGATCCCAGAAGGGCCACACAAAGCCACAATGAAGCCTTACCTTGGCAAGCTCAAATGTCCCATGATTCAACAAATCCTCACCAAGTCGCTAGGAAGCATGAGTAGGAAAAATCCACCTTAGAAACAGAGTCAGAGGTTGTAGTACTTTTTAGGTAGTCAGAAAGGCAGACAGAGATGCTGAAAGGTAGAGAGAGCTCTTCAGTTGTCTGTTCAGTCCAGTCCAGTGTGGTCTCCACTGAACCACAAGCCCCTAAGTATGAGCAAGACACATGCCATAAAAAAGAAAAAAATCAAGCATGAAGAACATCTACTACATCCATGGGACCAAGAGTAGGACATGCATTTTCTTGCTTCACAAGAGCTCATGGAGGCCCAGAGAGGAGCTTAATTTAATAATCCAAAGGAGATATAACTTTTGCTGCCCCTTCTTCTTCCAGGCATCTGATAAGCAAGGAGTCATTTTTATGTTCAGCTATGTGAGACCAAAGCAACTTCTCATGGTTGCCATGGGATACCTTCTAAATATGTGGCCTGATGTGATTTCCCCAAATTGTTATGCAGTGAAAATATCATAGTTTCTAAGTACACAGAATTTTTTCAATTGCATATCTAGATAAATGTGATATTTCCCCTTTGGGTTGTATTATATTAGACTTGGCTATGTTGCAGTAGATTTCAGTAATAAAATTAAAGACTTTCTAGCTGCAGGGCATCAATAACTTAGAGACCAGTTAATTTTGGATTGACGATTTGAATGGTGCCAACTTATTTTTTTAAAAAAACAGGGGAAATTTGTTTTGCAACAGAAAATATAAGAAATTTTCCCCGTCTGGAAGATACTCATACATACCAGATCATACCTTGTATAACCCTTGACCATTGAACTTTTATATAGTGACTATTTGTTCAGTTGTCCTTCTTCTCTACTAAACATGGGCTCCTGGAGGGCATGGAGTGTGTTGTTTGTCTCTATATCCCTAATGCCTAGCACAGTGACTGATGCATTGGAGGTATTCCATAAATGGCGGTTAATGAATCGATAATGTAGGATCAATGCAGTGGCCTGCATAGATTAATGGTACTTTGACAAAGAGACCTTGGAAGAAAGATAGCGATAGCATCGAGGAGTAAAATTTGTTTTGAATATAAGTCTTTGCCCCACCCACAATTTTTGGCTCTAGGGAGAGAATAACAAAGATTTAACTGGAAATTCATTTCTCCACAAACATATAGAAACCCAGAAAACAGACTCAGGATTTAGAGCAGCAAGGCAATATCCTAGTAATTTACTGAAGCAGTTTGGCTGTTCTGTCACCCTGAAGGTAATTGTATTTGCAGTTGAGAAGGGATGCCAACATCACATTACGTTGATCTGTATATCCATCACTGCCTGTGCTTTCCTCTGCCACCCCCTTGCATGATACAGTGTCATTCCAGTGATAGTGACTATTGTGACATTGCTAATATGAGGGAAAAATTAATTTTTAAAACACGGGATTTAGCAATGCCTGTGAAAAAATGTACATAGATACTTTTTAAAAAATTAGTCTTAATTTATCATTTTTCTTTTACATGCTGGGATGTTTCCTTCAAGCCCTCCTTCATCTAAAGATGATGTAAATTTCCTTGTACCTAAATCCCTCTTTCTTACCTTCCTTTTCATCCTCAAATACTCTTTCCTTTCTGAAGGGAAGCACAGTTCCCCAAAGCCCATTGGTTTGCAGCAGCTGCAATAGAAAAAACCTGAGTGGAGTTCAAGTTTTTTTGTTTGTTTGTTTTTTGTTTTCAGAAGAAGGGAGAAGGGAAGTTCTACCCAAACAGTAATGGCCAGGTAGGAGACTCACACCTATTCTCCATCAGCTCTCTCTGAATCTGCCTGAGTACTACCTGGGCCTTGTCTTCAGGGCCACAGTTGCCATGACTTCATAGGATTTTGCAAATTCACTCCCAAAAGATGCTGCCTCCTTATTGCTTGCCTGTGATTATGGCCTATAGCCATAACCACAGTTTTCAGCTGACTTGACAGCCGTTCAACCTAATTGCAGGCAAAAGGACTCAGCATAATGTAGGTAGGGACCACGTAATAGGCTCTGTACAATCACACAGCTCTGGGCTCCAATCCAAGCTATAGCTCTGTGACTCTGAGCAAGCTACTGACTCTCTGAGCCCTTTAATATACGTGCCTGTAATAGCGGAATAAAAATATAGACTTCACTATGTCGTCATGGAATTAAGTAAGGTGAGGTATATAAAGGGTGTGGGAAAGAGCAGGCTCTAAAAACAGCACAAATTCATTCCACTTTTGATTCGCTTCCTCTCTCTCCCAGTAGTAACAGAGGCTGCCAGATACGGAGGAAAATGGAAAACAATCTTTGTTAGGATGCCCTCTTCACTCTTTCTGTCCCACTTCTTTTATATTCTCTTGCTATGGGAGGGATGAAGGCCTCAGGATGAATGAGGGAAAATGAAGATGAGAACATTTTCTTAAGTGAAAACTTTTAAGAGTAGCTACAATACTTCCCTTGAATTCAAATTTAAAAAATTCATAAATAGCCTTTGTGTATTCTTTTTTTGCTTTTTGTTTGTTTGTTTGTTTGTTTTTGGAGATGGAGTCTTGCTCTGTCACCCAGGCTGAAGTGCAGTGGTGTGATCTCAGCTCACTGCAACCTTCGCCTCCCAGGTTCAAGTGATTCTCCTGCCTCAGCCTCCCAAGTAGCTGGGACTGCAGGTGCCTGCCACCATGCCCCACTAATTTTTTGTATTTTTAGCAGAGACGGGGTTTCACCATATTGGCGAGGCTGATCTCAAACTCCTGACCTCATGATCTGCCTGCCCTGGCCTCCCAAAGTGCTGGGATTACAGGCGTGAGCCACTGTGCCTGACCAGCCTTTGTATATTTTTATCACTTATGTTTGAATGCTGTCCAAACAAACTTCCCAGATGAAAGTTCTAAGTTCAAGCTTTGGAAGTGTGTTCCTGTGACCACTTATACTCAAAGAAAAGAGAGGACGAGAGAAGGGAAAGGAAGGAAAGTACTCTGGATCCAAAAGTTCAGGGTAGTTTTATAACACTTTGACAACACTTACTTGCCTGGTCACAGCATTTGCGTCCTCTTACCAGCAATTTATTTAAGTTCATGGCATTGCACGTGGAGTGGCAGGAGACGGAGCTGTTTTGATGCGATGTGATACTCTGCCTTAAAATAACTCTAGAGAAAGACACAGGAGACACAAATAAAGTGAATAGACATGCCCTTTAATTAGCATATATTCAAAATCACGTCATGCTAGGACTTTCAGTTTAACGTTACTTAAGTGGGTAAAATGTGCAGAGGAAATTTCTCTGGCCACAGAGTCAATCTGTCATATACATTTGCTAGATCCAGCTGTATTTCCTAAATACTGAACATATTGTTCTGGCTGTTTATATTCTTGGCATCCAGTACTGCTGTGCATTCCCAAGAACCAAAGAGCATGGAGCGCAGCAGTAGCTTTCCCTAAAAGGCCTGTAAAGCCATGACTAGTTTATTCTCTCAAAGATCCAAGGTACTTGTTAAAGCACAAGATCTGTTGCAACTGATGTAGCTCTGAATTAAATGTATCGCAACACATTCTTAGGGAGACAGAGTTGCTTTGACTAACAGCCTCCATATTCGTCAAAACTACTGTAAGCCAAAGGTTAGCAGCAGCATCTGGCAGCACAAACCCAAGTCTACAAGGCTAAAGTAAGCACTAGTCCAGTGAGTCCAGTGCCTGCTACCGCTCACTCTCTCCATTGCTTGGTCTGGGTAGGAATTTACAGACTACACTGGGTGCATAGAAACAGAGAGGAAACCTGGGTGATTCTTTTACTCCAGGAGAGAGATGCCCAACCCTGTTTTGGAACAGGCAATGTGGTAGAATTTTCAAAAACATTTGTTTTCCTTGATTATCTATTTAAAATTTTTTAAAAATGACATTTTTAGGTAGCTCAGTTTAAGATATTCAAAATCTCATAGAGGCAGAAACATTAAAAAGGGCTGGGGGAGGGATAGCATTAGGAGAAATACCTAATGTAAATGACAGTTGATGGGTGCAGCACACCAACATGGCACATGTATACCTATGTAACAAACCTGCACGTTGTGCACATGTACCTCAGAACTTGAAGTATAATAAAAAAAAAAAAGTTAAAAAAAAAATAAGTCCAAGATCAAATGGCACAGGAATGCAGTGGAGGGACATTAACCCAGGTTAAGACAGGAAGGAAGGCAATGGTGGCACCAGGGGGCCGCTACCAGTTTCCCCAGAACCCTAGATAACTCTGCAATCTGAGTAACTGGACATACAGCATCCAGCTTGCCTCATTACACACCTTCACTGTGTGTAGGATTGGTATACAGGTTTTCTAGAAGACATGAGGCCTAAATTAAGGTTTAGAGTGCAAACTGAAACAAATGGGGAGGTGTCACTCTTATAAAGGTTAGAATCCAGCTTTCACTTGAGGCCGAATACTTCTGATGTCTCAGCTTTATGTGTGTTTAACACAGTAAGGTATCAAAGCATCTGATACTTCAAAATGCACTTGTGGCCTACCTCTGACTCTGACCTAAAGAGGGAATGGAATAATTCATAAGCATGGCAGATCAAGGAAACAGAGAATTTGTCCTAGCAAAAGTCTTTAAAAGGTGATACCTTTGGATACAGAATTTTCACTTAAAGAATTTTATTTTCAGTGAATACTTAAGAGAATATTTAGTTACAAGTATGTCCATCACTGTTTTGTTTTCTTCCTGAAAGGAAAAACAGGAAGCCATATAAATATTTGTCCAACAGTAACATATTGTATGGTACAGTCCTATAATAGAACAATTTGCAGTCCTTAAAAAGTGATTTTATAGAATAATATGAAAAAATGTAATAACATTCCTCAGAAAAAAAAAAGCAAATTGAGAGTCATGCCATGAAAGACACTACAAAGAGGGTAAAAAGACAAAATATGGTAAATCATATATTGGATAAAGAACTTGTATCCAAAATACAAAAAAAGTCTTAAAACTCCTTAAGAAACTAAAATCCAATTTTAAAATGAGCAAAAGATTTAAACAGATACATCACAAAAAAAAATACTGATGGAAAATAAACATATGACAAGATACTTAACATCATTTGTGACTAGTGAGATGCAAATTAATACAACAATGTGATGCCAGTACACATCTATTCGAATAGCTAAAATCCAAAGCACCGATAATACAAATTGCTGGCAAGGAAGCTAAGCAACAGGAACTCTCATTCATTGCTGGTGGGAGTGCAAAATGATATAGGCACTTTAGAAGACAGCTTAGCAGTAAAGCAAAACAGTCTTACTATATGATCCAACAGTTAGGCTCTCAATTATTTACCCAATTGATCTGAAGATATATGTGCTTGTGCACAATATGTGCATGCACATGAAAAATCCACATCCAAAAATATTTGTGGCAGCTTTATTTATAATTTTCTAGAAGCAGCTAATATGCTTTTTAATAGGTGAATGGATCAATAAATTGTGACACATACATATAATGGAATAATATTTAACAATAAAAAGGAATGAGCTATCAAGTCATGCAAAAATATGGATAAATCTTAAATGCATATTTAAAAGTGAAATAAGCCAATCTGAAAAGTTTGCACACTATATGATCCAATTTTTATGACATTCTGGGGAAAAACAAATACAAACAAAAAAAACCTACAGAGACGTCAAACAGATCTATGGTTGCCAGGGGTTTAGAAGAGAGATGGTCGAATAGGTGAAGCATGGGAAGTTATTTTTTGGGTGGTGAAACTCTTCTGCATACCATATTGCAATGGTAGATACCTAACACTGCGTTTGTCAAAATCTATAGAACTTGATAGCACAAAGAGTGAAACTTAAAGCATGTGAATTTTCAAAAGTCATTTAGGAGACCAGAGGATCCTAGGATGGAATGCAGACTATCACAAAGGAATTTCCATTAGAAATGTATAAAATGACCTCACTGAAGAGAGTGGGGGTAAAAGTGCCAAACTAAATAACTTTTTGGAATGAGTGGAAAGTAAAGCTGTACATAAGCACTGTACTCTAATTGGTAAAATTATTTCCCATGAGAGTAGGAGTTAACAATTCTGAAACCACCATACATGCATACTAGAATTGAACAATTAAGTAAATAAATGGCAGATGGTGGAAACTAGGTTTCTCACTAATGGAGTAGGAGTTTACAGAGAACCAAGAAAATAAGTCTAGAATGATTCATGTACTGGATAAGAGTTGGAGATATCAGCATGAACTCATATTTAGTTTAATATAGATACAAATGAATATATAGGAAGAAATAATCATAGACACGTTTGCATACACCGGTTAGTGTACACCATATACATGTTTTCTTGCTCTGTTAGCTGAGAGCGTCTCAAAGCAACAAATTCAAGTACCAATGAGCCCACTCAGTGCCCAGATATTGGTTTCTAATACCATTCTCCAATAAAAGAATCCAGAGCTCCTCGGAGAAATGGCTGATTTCAGTTCAGGCAGAGAGAATATAAGTCCAAAACATCTTGTAAGTGCCAGAAAGCAAAACTTGCTAAAGAAAACCCACAACAATGGAGCATGTGAAAGGGATATAGCAGCCAACTGAAGAGCTCCCAATGGACAAACCTGGGACAATTTGAACAAATAGATAAATAACAATGTTGGATTATAACCCACCATATTGAATAAATATGAGTTAACATTGTTACAAATAAGTGATTAAATATATAAGTGAGAGAGAATAAAAATAGATAAATTATCTATCAAGAAGAAGTCCAAATAATTTATGTAGATACTCCCCCACTTTAAGGAGTAGAACGTAACTCCTATTTCTTAACAGTGGGCTCCATGCAGTGACTTCCTTCCAAAAAGCACAGTATGAAAAGGGTAACTTCATTGTGGAGAGAACTGACAAGCTACCTCAGCCAGATGATCGAGGTTGACATCTACAGTAATAAGTCATGCTGATAGTACGTATCCTTGATATGTTGGGATGATAATGGCATTTCTGGGGTTCTCCTCCCCACTATTCATAACCCCAGCATAATCGTGAGAAAAAAACAAACATCCCAAATGAGGCACATTCTACAAAACAACCAACCATTATTATTCAAAATTGTCAAAGTCATCAACAACAAGGAAGTCTGAGAAACTGTTGTAATCTAAGCAGCCTAAAGACACACAATTATTCAATGTAATGTGGTAGCGGGATGGGATTCTCGAACAGAAAAGGAATATAGGGTGAAAAGTAAAGAAATATGAATAAAGCATTGACTTCAGTTAGTAATAACGTATACTATAACAATGTGGTCTATATGGGAAGTCTCCACTATCTTTACAACTTAAAAAATTTAAGTTTTAAGTATAAATCTTAAACTAATATAAAATAGAAAGTTAATTAAACAAAGAGCATGTTCTATAATTTTTCTGAATTTGTAGATAGATAGATACTTAGATAGATAGATACACATATGGCCATGTAGAAAAAAGAAAAAAGCTATATCAAAATATTAACAGTGGCTATTGTTGGTGGTGTGATTAGAAAGTATTATTTTCTTATTTTGTTAATCTGTATATGTGATTTTATAATACAAAAAGAAAAATAAGTTGTGAGTCTTTATTTGGACCAGAATACTTCCCTGATTTAAGTACAAAAGGAAGAATCATATCTAGTATTTAAAATTTCTAAAAATATTTAACAGGCACGCAGTATGGAATAATTCTGTCGGGAGAAAAATATAAAAATTACTTTTTAATTTAAAAGTCTTCTCCCAGTATGCTCTTTGATAGTGCCTAAGGATAAATGTAAAGAATAGTTATTTCTTAAACTAAGAGTTTGACAAAACGTAGTCAAGAAAGAGTCTCAAATTAATCTTCCAGAGGAATTCCAATTCCCCCTTTTAATTCATTCACTTTCCTGATTCTAATTTCTTATGTAATTTAAGATGTTTAAAACCTCTAGAGAGGCTGATCTGAGGCTCCAAGGAGGTGCTCTCAGATGTCCCTTGAATTCTGTTCTAAGCACACCTCCTAGAGCAGACTCTTGCCTTGTAGATTAGAAGATGATGGTTGTGCACAACATCAGAATGCTGGTAATGTCGTTAACACCTTCTCCAGTGAGAAGCAATTAGCTATTTTCAGCAAAAATGTATTCTGTAATTCCCATGGTGG